CAATCTATTGTCCAGTCATACCACTATGTTATAAGCAAAGCAACACTACTACCACTACCACTACCACTACTACTACGAACATATCCGAATTGAAATCATAGCATCATCATTTTCCTCTTCCTTTTCATCCGAGAAAAAAGCCTTCTCTCTACGTCCAACTAGTAGCTAGCTACGTACCTACTATCTTTTTACTACCATTATCGCATAGTTAAGAAACTGCATGCATATTGGCTAGTCTTGCCTTGCTACTAATTATTCCTCATGACTGCATATCCAGGGAGGAGATTGCATCTGAACTATGTTAGTGATAGTTATGTTAGTAGTAGTAGTAGTAGTAGTAGTAGTAGTAGTAGTAGTAGTAGTAGTAGTAGTAGTAGTAGTAGTAGTAGTTACTTTCCTCGTTTTAAGCACTTACACAATTCAACATAGCAAACTAAGTAGTGTATTGTACAGTGTAGATAATACGTATATATACAATGCATTTATGCATCTATGTATGTATGTAGCTATGTGTATGTGGGGTATGTTCACTGATCTGAACACGTTCTTTCTGTTTTAGGTAAGTAATTATAGTAGGTTAGTTAGTTAACATCTATGACTGATTCAGGATTGACGTACTTCTTTCCTGATTGGGTATTCTGTTTAGTCGCGGATATACTTACCCTACTTACCATACAGAGTATCCATTAGTATATATTCCATACTGCACATGCATAGTAAGAGTGGCTATACTACACCATAACGGACATTCAGCTCTATGCAGAACGATCTAAGTATATGTATTAAAACAAAGTAGTATACATGAAGGGTAAAGGTAAAGTTCGGAGAACAAGAGAGCGAACGAAGTCAGGAAGAGAGCAAAAGCAAGGACAGACAGATCAGACACGACAATTCGGCTCAAAGCAAAGCAAGCAAAGATATAGGAAAAGAGAAAACAGACTAGGGATAGTACTCTGCGCAGAGGAATCGGGAACATCACACACACAATAGTCAAAACCAAGCAAGAGTAGCAATGATGCAGAATGCGTATGCAGCGAGTCAAAAAAGGATAGTGATTCAGTTGGATGATGATGATGTGAACAGTCTTTCATGGCCCGATGTAGGAGGGAGTGGATGAAGGATTATGTGTTTGTTGGCCCAGCCATGCATACACACGTTAGGGAACTCCCATGCTGTTCAGTATGATGCAATGAGAAATATATCTGCCATGGAATGGGTCAAGGGGCATCAAAACGGAACGCTTTTTAGCTGCTGCCAACGCCGAAACATACACAAAAACAAACCAACAGAAGAGGAATCCAACAGAAGAGGGGGTATTTCTGCTACCCAAAGAGCAACACGAGAAAAAGAAAAGAGCAAAGCAGGCTTCCATGATTCAACAATGCACGAAAACGGAGGAAATATGACACGCCCTCAGGCAAGTGACCTGGGCGATATGCGGATAGGCGGACAGATCTTTAGGGTCATATATCCATACTCCAACGCCAGGGTCGGAGACGTTCAAGATGACCTAATCCGATATCGTCAGGCGAGTCATTGATTTCCAAATGCAACAATTGAACCTTGTTGTTGTCACGTTGCAAGGTAGATAGGGCTTGTGAGATCGTTGGAGGGAAATGTTTACCGCTATCTTGAGTTGCTTTGGAGACAGGCCGTGACGTCGGGGTCCCGGGCTGATGCAAGGAGACCCGCGGAGACTCCACTTCGGTATCGCCAGGTGATGACAGAGTAGAACATGAATCCGAGCGTGAGCGGAATGATGGGGAGATTACGAAGTTGGCCTGATCACGTCCGAACATCATTCTGGGCGATGAGGGCGGGGAGAATTCGTCGTCTCCTTCTGAATCGTCCTCCACGGCTCTTGGATCGTACCAGCCGTCGGGGGCCATGCGAAGCGGGGAAGGCTTATGGGCATTCTTCTTTTCGGCAGGTTGGGTGGCTATGGGAGGGAGCTGCTGGGCAGGAGTGACGGGCTTGTTGACATTTCGGTCACCGTCTACGCGTTGTCCACTAGTGTCATTGTTGCGGACAGTATCGCCAGAACGCTCTTTGCCAGCCATCACTCGAGCACTGGGCGGGGGTTGTAGCATCCATCGTGTTTCGGCGCGGCTCTTGGGTCCACTAACGATTGGAGGATGAAGGTCGTTGACTGGGGGCACACGGGCAATGTAGTATTTGCTGGAGGAGCCAGCATCTGCTTTACCGCGACCTGAGAGTCCGACGGAGGAACCCTTTACCTCCACATCCTGGCCCCATAACGGCTCGTCCTCGCGCTGATTTCGCATGCGGCTCCACCGATCGCCCAACGGATGCTTCAAACTGCTCTTATCCTTCTTGTTCGCCGAATTGCCCCCGCGGCTCACATCCTGTGTGGAGTCCGCCGATATGCCGGTATTCCAAGAGTCGGTTCGGCGATGGGCGTTGCGGTGACCACCTCGTCTAGCGGGAGGACCGGGACCGAGAGCGATTTCCTCGGCCCATCCTGGGTTGGTACTAAAGGCAGTGGGTTGTGCTAAAGGTCTCGGTTGGTCGGTGACAGTAGCATCTATCCTATCCTTTTCGCGTTGCGATCGAACGGCTTCCTTTTTGCGCTTGTGGCGGTCTAGGGTGTTGGCACAGGGGGTGCAGGTGGCGTAGTAGAATACAGCGGACTGGACGCCACGGTAGAGCCACATTCTGGCCTGGCCACCAGAATCGGACGAGGGAGGTTGGGGAGGAGAGTAAGGGAGGAGTAGGAGGGAGAGGGAGAGATCGAGAAGGTGATGGGAGGGAGGGAGGGAGAGAGGGAGATAGGGAAGGAAGTCGGGCTACCACGGACTAGCCCAACGATGCCAGCGGGAAGAAGAGGGAAATCCTAGCGCTTAGAAAGACCAATTGACCCCGGGGTATAGACAAGAGTGTTGGGACGGTCGCAACAACATGAAGGGCGCGCTCGGAACCGGAGGGGGAAGGAGGGCACAGTATAGTTGATAGCTGAGAGGCAGTAGGAAGTGGCGGTCGCCCAGCGACCGGAGGAAGATTGGCGTCAGATAATGGGGGAGGAGGAGGAGGAGGAGGAGGAGGAGGAGGGGAATTTGTTGCAGAGTTGAGTTGAAGCGGTCTGGAGGAATGTTGGTGGAAGCAGAAGAGGTGATGACAAAGAAATGAAGCAGAAGCAGAAGCAGAAGAATAAGAACAGAACAAGCGGAGAAAGAGGAGAGAGGAGGGAAGAGGGAGAGAATAGGAAGCAAAGGAGATAGGGAGGAAAGGAAGAGGAGTCAGAGTGTAGTAAGAGGGAGAGAGGGAGGGAGGGAGGGAGGGAGGATAGTACGGGGGGGGAAGGAGAGGAGGAGAGGAGAGGATGGGACGCCGAGCAGGTAACAGCCACAGAGAGGGAGACAGAAAGAGAGGATCAGGGGAATTGAACTGAACTGAGAACTGAACTGCAACTTCACCTTTGAACGGTCGGGTTTTGGGCCGCACTTGGCACGGGCGGGGCGGGCGGCAGAGAAAACGGGGCAGGCTGTCACATTTAGATTTATTTTCGCATTCTTTGAATTCATTTTATTATTTATTCAATTCATGATAATTAGATTGTTAATTATTATTCATGTGGTGGTTGTATTGTTGAGGAAGTCCCTGGGCTGGGAAAATTCTCATACATACGATATACTCTCTCTCCACCTGCACAAAGACGAGACGCACTCCCCATAATAAATTAAAATAAAATCGAAGGCAGGAATAATAATAATAATGATAATGATAATAAATGGGTAAATCTCACGAGGGGGAAAACTAAAACCAAAACTAAAGCTAAACTAAATCTCCAACCACTTGGGACGAGCCCCTGGCAAAACCTGGGACAGGCCCAAACCACAAAACGTAAATCCGAAAACGGCCAGCGTCAGATCCTCCCTGAATGAATAATACGTACTTGGTAGTTATAGTTAACTATCACTAATCAATCTCATCCATCGTAACCGAACTGGATGACGGAGTCTGGGACGCGTTTGCGTTGTTCACCCGGATGGATTCTTTTTAGTCAATTACTTACTAGCTGTGCACAGGGCAGTGCAATGCAGTCTGCGGTGGCATAAGTAATTGTATCTAAATAAATGTTTGAGGTATAAGAATAGCACAAGACAATGCATACTACATAGATAGTAGAGATGCTGCCTGCTTGGTACTGTATGTATGATGTATGTGCCACTTGCCGCATGGCTATTAGTTACTTAGTACAGAGTACTTGGTGCATGCAATGCAACATGGCCACAAGGCATTATATTGATTATTATTATTATTATCAGATCAGGTGATGAGTGACTTTGCTTCTTCTTCTTCTTCTTCATATTGATTATGATATTATTATGGTTAAATGGTCAACTTATGTCCTGTTCCCTTTCCCCTCTCCCTCCACAATCCTTACCCCCCTGCGGTCCCTATCCAGGGCTGATCACCTTGCATATCCATATTAACCGCTGCCCTGAACATCCCGCGTTCTCAATCACATCGGCTGCTTTTCCCCAACACCCAATGAAACTGCCGTCCAATGGAACCCTGCCGCGCAGGAGTGTTGGATACTTACTACTAGTAGTAGTAGTAGTATCATCTCCCCCCTCTTCTCTCCCCTCTCCCATTCCTTCAGCCATCCCAATGCCTTGTTTTGACAATCTCAAACTTCCTTTTTTATTCCTTTCCTTGATTCCATGCAATTCCCAAACGCAAGAACTCCCGTCGAGCCGCTAAACTTGGCCCCGATATCACATCGAATGAGCGCCCTTTTGAGCCCATGCGCGTCCCACTCGTAGCTCTCTCACTCTTTCGCTCTCTCTTTCTCATTTCATGAGAAAAGGATCCCCGCCCGACGACGCACCGATCATGTCCACGGATCATCTGGTACCGACCAATCCCCTCCTGTAAATCTGTCGCGCGCGTAGTAGCTTTCTTTCTTTCGCCTTCAAAACAACATCCCCCCTGGTCGGCAAACTGACACTGGCACGCGCTTACTCCCTCCCTCCCCTTAATCGACGAACGAAAAGACCACCACAAAGAGAAGGAGGGGGGTCCGCCTGACCCATATACGCACTAGCCACCAATGTTACGCTGAAACTCTTGTCCACTTTCCCATCATACACTTAATACGCTCATCCTTTCTTCTTTTCTTCTTGCTGCAAAGAAAAAAAAATACCCCTTGTCATGTAGATAATCATCGAAACATCACTTCCCCGCTGTTTCATGCGTTCTTGGTGCCTTTGACTACTTCTCCCCTGACCTTCGTCCAATCGATATCGTTGTCAATGGCTTCGTCAACCTCTCCGCATAATACGACGTTGTCGCCTCGGATCAAATACAGCCCATGCTCAATCTGGGAGCTGGGTTCCGGGTCATCGGGGGTCCGGATGATTCGCTCGATCGTATCCAGGAGAACCAGGTTCGTTAGCTGGTCGGTGGAGAGTAATGTTCCCAGCAGTGTGCGGCCGTCAACCGTCAGGATGCATACTTTCTCTATACACCGAGCAAAAATAAACTGCGTTAGCACTGACCCAGGGACTGAAAACCAAATATGTAGTAGAGCCCATGGGAACCAATCACTTACTGTTGATATAAGAGTGAAGCGACATGATGATCAGATGTGCGAGGGTGAAGTACTATTGAAGCACCAATATCCCGAACGGAAAAACAATCCAGGTAACGAAAAATGCACCACCACTCGAGGTCACCTAACCCGGGCAAGTCGTAGAAAAGACGATCCGGAGAATAACCACAGTTCCGTAACAAAGTCGAATGCACCCTGTTTGCACTAGGTCTGAAGCTAGTAGCTTGACTCGCAGCAAATACTTCGTCGCCGCGTTCCGATCGTCAAGCTGGAGGGCAATCTGCTCACTAAGCTCCGAAGCCGGCCAGCTGTTCTGTACAAATGAGGAGAGTCGTGTAAAGAACGCGCTAATCGGGAGGGACAAGGTATATCTGTGGAAGGAAGAACAGCAGCGAGGTCTGGCCTGGGATGTTGTGACTGCAGCGGCGTGCTTCTCCGGATCCTCACAGCTTCCATGCGGCGCCCACTGATCACGTGATGGGAGCTGTCCCGTGCTGCGCATTGGCGATCACGTTTAATTGATTGATCAGATAAGGAGCTATGATTGTTTCACTATGTATTATCTGGTCCAGTAGTTCAGCTGCTACAGATTGGTATAATGTCATATACTACGTACAGAGCGTGCAGGTTGTGATGCAATTGACCTGAAGACCAATCTTCATTCCGTAAACACCCTACGATCACTAACAATATGCGAATTGCTAAGCAAATCCACAAGTCTGGAGAAAGATACTAATCTACCACGCGTCTCGCAGCAACACTTCCCTTACCCAATCAATGCGCTCAGATCCAATGGCACACTGCTGCCTCGTCCAGCCCGATAGCGCCTGGTGCCTCCCACAAATGGACGAGGCTTGGGCAATAAGCCTTCGCTTTGGAACTTGAACCGATGATCGTCTACCCGCATGATGCCATGTCCGCCTGGACTGCGAGGGCTTGCTCCCGGTGACGGCCCGCCGTTGCTGAGGGTATAGGCGCTCGGGTCCAGGGTAGAACGGTCTGGTTGATGAGGTGGAGGAGGTGCTATGCTAGACGGCAGAGGTGATGGCCGCGACGGTGGCTCGCTGGGAGGAGCACTAGGAGGAGGCGGAGGGGGGGCTGATGGGGCCGAGGCCGCTGGTTGGGGAGGTGGTGGTGGCGCATGTCCGAGAGCATTTCTGGCAGCCTGTACGGCGATAGACGCAGCAGCTGTGCCGTTCGGCGGCTGTGGAGCAGACGCGCCGGGAGGAGGAGGGGGAGGAGGTGTAGAGCGTGCCGGCGCCGGGGGAGGTCGGGGAGCAGCCGCCGGAGGTGGTGGCGGAGGTGCAGCTGGACTAGCCGAGGGAGGTGGAGGTGGAGGAGGTGCAGGTGCAGAGGGTTTTCTTGTAGATACTGGAGGCGGCGGCGGGCCTTTGGCGGAGCCGGGTAATGGTGGCGGTGCGCGCGGGGGAGCGTCAGGGGCGGATCTGCTGGACGCAGTCGAAACCGTCGATGACGGCCTGGAAGCCGGTCGCGGGGGTGGTTTCCGGAGGTTTGCAACCAACGGGTTCACTGGAGGAGTAGGAGGCGACTCTGTTGCAGGAGGGCGTGGTGGAGGTCGAGCACCTGGCGGTTTGGGGGCGGACATAGCAGGGGGCGGGGGAGCGCTCCGCGAACCATCCGTATCTGATCGATATGGGGAGTCCCGATTAGCTCCAGTGTCAACACCTCCCCGACTGCGCAACTTAGGCATGCCTCCAGCAAAGAGGCCTCCAAGTTGAGGCGCCGCCGGGGCACCCGCCACTGCATCACCTCCTGAACCAGTATCACTGTTGCTTCGTAGCCTGTTCGCTGCCTGTGCCGGAGGGACGGGTGGTGCAAGCCCTGTCGGAGGCTTCGCCATGCCCGGAACTGGCGGAGCGCTTGGAATTGCAGGACCGGAAGACTTCGCTCCTCCACCACTGACCATGGGCGCCGACCTGTCGTTGGTCACGGTCTTCTTCAACCTTGCGCCTTTGTGGATATCGGAAAGCAGTGCGCCCTATTAGAAGGCATTAGCAGTCGATAACTTGCCTAGACTGGCAGACCAGATCTTCTTACCCGGCCCTTAGCTTCTGAGCCAGAGGGTCTGCTGGGCAGATTCCCCGCTGGGGGAGGAGGCGGGGGAGGACCTCCCATCCCTCCGGGCGGCGGCGGCGGCGGCGGAGGGGGAGGCATGATGTTTGTAGACGATGAGGTATGACGCTTGCAATCGGGAGGGAGTAATGAGAGGGTAGACGATCACGAAGGGATCTAATCTGCTGGGGCTGGCTGGATCATTTGAGGCCTGCTGTTGCCAGAGAGAGGGTGGTGTTGAAAGAAAGCAGCTGCCTACGGGGCGTTGCTGATGGAGGAGAAGCAGGAGAGTTCCAGAGAGGGACGTCAGGTCGATGGACGCCAGACAGCCGTTCCTGGAGACCCGCTTTTGGTGGCGGCAGTAATTCAGTTGGTGCCCTCGCCGCCTTGCGCATCTCCCCGTCTTTCTCTCTGGCCCATCTAGTTTTCCCTCATCACCACTACCACAATGACAGCAACAACCATGCTCCCGACAAGAGGCATTGCCCTCAGGGGCTACAAGAGCTCTCGGCCGCAAGCTCTAGCCAGCCAGATCTGTCAATTATCCGCACCTCCCGCGCCCATTCATCAATCCGTACGATCCTATGCATCCAGTCCGTTGACCCGGAATGCGCGCCCAGGCCAATTGCGACCCCAGAGAAGCCCGAAAAGCTTCTTGACTTCGGCTACATACGCTTCTACCCCTAGGAGGCTTGAATCTACCAAATCCGGCCACCTCACGCCAGCGGACTTCGAAGAAGCTGTGGACCAGATCGCCCACGAATGTGCCGAACTCAGCGAAACGGACTCTGTGCCCCCCAACGACAAGGTCGTGCAACTGCTACAAAAATGCCAACGAATTGCCGAAGTTATGGTCCACCCGGAGCAGGACACCGGCAAGAGCCAACAACCAGACGAGATCTCATCCCTCCTAGACCTAGAGGAAGGGAAGAACGCTGCTACCCGGAAACAAAAGCAGCAAACCACCACCACACTGCCCCGAAAGACCCCCGAACAGATCATTGATCAGCTCTGCAAATCCGTCCATGACCTCTTGACAGACGAGAAAGTATTCATCTCCCCCGAAGCCCTGACCTGTTACACCAAGATCCACGCTATGCTCAAACGTCCCGACCACTTCCCGGAAATCTTCCATCTATACGCCAACAAACCAGTCCCCGAGGAGAACAGCTCCCCTGTCCGATACCATAAGGCCAAACCCAAGAGCATCAACAGCGCCGTGCCCGTCGAGCTTGCGGACATGGCTCTCGATGTCGCTATCGCCCAGCGCAACCTCTCCCTAGTGTTGGCCATCATTGACACCACCTATAGCACCCCGGCGTTCCGTCGTGCCAAGGTCTTCAAGAGGGCAGCTGTTCCGTTGGGTGGAATTGCTGCTGCGCCTGCAGCTTGCTATACCCTTGCTTCGTGGGCCTCGACGCTGCAGAACACAATGGACCCTAGCACAGCGACGGGGATCGCTTTCGCAGCGGGCCTGGCATACATGGGTGGAGTCACGTCAGTTGGAATCCTGGCCATCACGACGGCGAATGACCAGATGGAGCGGGTGACTTGGCAACCGGGTGTGCCACTGCGACACCGTTGGGCCCGTGAAGAGGAGCGGGCTGCCTTCGACAAGGTTGCGCTTGCATGGGGGTTCAAGGATATCTACATGCGAGGTGAAGAGGAAGGCGAGGAGTGGGAGAGTCTCCGAGAATTCATCGGCATGAGGGGAATGATTCTGGACCGGACGGAGTTGATGCCTGGAATGCAATGATACTATACTATACTATACTCCCTATGTATCTACTGTACCATACTACTGTCTACAATAGAAGCCTACACCACACCACGTCCAACTCATTAAGATAAATAGAGACCAAAACCCAGGATCACATTTATAACCCACACCATAAGTAGCTAAACTATGATACGAAACACAACCCCAGAATCCCAGTCCCTAAAAAAAAAAAAGGGTGTCGTACCCCCAGCGTGACACATAAACTTTTTCCTTTTTATTTATTCATAAAGAGAAAAGAGAAAAGCGACCCGCTTAGTACAGACGCTTAGGGGGAGACATGGTAGCCTTGAGGACAAGGCTACCAACGTTCTGCCAACCCTTCTTAAGCAGGGAGACAAGGTAGTTGATGGCGAGCATGGTGTTAGCGACCAGCTCGTCCTCAGTCATACCAACGTTGCCGACGGCAACACCGAGGCAGAGAACCTTCTTAAGCTGGAACTTGATGGTAGACTTGACCTCGTTGACCTTGTTGGCCATGTCCTCGGCGTGAGAGACGGGGGTAGGGAATTTACCGGCTATTCATTCATTAGCACCACACGATTCATGCAGTAATACCCCTAATGAGGGAGGTATTTGGGGGTGGGGGGAAACTCACCCTTGGAGAGACCAGGACCCAAGAGACGGGGAATCTGCTTGATGAGGGTGTCGGAAGCAAGGAAAGCATCGTACTTGCGAGCAAGCTTCTTGATGAGCTTCTTGTTCTTGTTCAGCTTCTTCAGGTCGTCGGCGGACATGGCGTCAATGCCGTGGTGCTTGGCACGGTCGAGATCGTGCTGGTCACCAAGAACACTATCCTTTCATCAGTATTCTATCCTTTCTCTCTCTCTCTTTTATTCCGAAGGTTTTCTCCGGTGGTGGTGATGGTGGTATCATACCAGATGGTCATGTTGGGACGGGGAACGGTAGGCAGCTTGATGGTACCAGAGAAACGCTTGTCACGCTGGGGGTCGTAGTTCTTCAGACCGATCTGAAGCTCGACGGTCTCGAGGAAGTTCCTCTTCTTCTCATTCTGAGAGTAGTTGAGCAGCTGCTCGATGTTCTGGCGCACTCCGGCTGTTCACGAATCATTAGTATCCTTCATTCATCATACATATAACACATCCTGCTCTGATATAAAGATGCAACATACCGACTGTGATCTTAGACATGGTGCTGACAGTCTTCCAAAAGAACTTGAAATCCTTATGGTGTGGCTCTGCGCTGAATATCGGGTCAAAAGATCAAAAGAGGGAAGAAAATCAGGCCGGGCGCCGCGCTTGGAGGGCCGTGAGAAAATCCGTTACGACTCCGCTTTGTGTGTGGATGGGTCTAGCGGGTTTGGGTTTAGCGCTGCCCTAATTTGCATTTGCTGAGTCAGGTGTATAATTGGTGGTTGTGCGGGCCGTTGTGAACATCATAATTGGGAGGTCTACTTACTCCGTAGTACAGAGTTAGTCAGTGATTGGCCAGTCATAATCTCTCAGGTATTACTAGTTATAGTATGCTTGTTTGATTTCGACGTAGTTCTGATCTTTTAACATGCGGATGTATACTTTACAAACATGGACAGATTCGTTACGTAGACACATGATGGCTACCGAGGATAGAATGCTTCCCATACTCCGTTAACGTACTAGAGAGTATCATAGTTCACTATGCTCTACTGAATATCTAATTCTAAAACAAGAACGCTAATTCCAAATTTGCCTTCGCTCTATCCGCAGCTAGTAGACTCTCATAACCGAGACAATCGCTCGCCCACTTACCAACTCACAGTTTAGCCTGCGCCTGTATCTGCTCATCACTCACCAAGCCAGCTTCAATAGCCTTGATCTGCAGAGTCAGGAACTTGGAATAGATCCGACACAAGGCAAGATTTCCGCCCATGTACCAGAAACCGGGGTGCCCGCTGGGGCGCCACATCTATAGAAAGTGCTTGTTAGTGATGACAAAGTTGAAGCAAGTGGGAAGAAGTACGTACTGCGTTGATTTCTCCCTCCTCGTCTAGATCCCAGACATCTCGACATCGGTCCGCAACACGGTCACCTAGTACTTTCCGTACCGTCGTGCGCATATTGTCGTAACCAGTCGCGAGGACCACGACATCGGCGGACAAGGCTGACCCGTCCTTCAAAACAAGGCCGGATTCCGTAAAATGAGAGATTCCCTCCGGACTACGCTTAACCTTGATCTTGCCCGAGGCGATGAGCGGGCTGCAGCCGACATCAATGTAGTATCCACCGCCGCGAGTCATATATGCACGCCCAAGACCAGCACCGTTGACGCCAAAGTCCAGTGCGAAACCAGCCTTTTCCAGGCCACTGAGGAGATCTTCCTCGGCGTGCGCCACGCGCCGGGTGAAATGTTCGCCCAGAGCAAATTGGACAGGGAATGGAAGACATTCATGCAGCAGATCGGCTTCTTCGGTAGGAGGCCTGCAAGGGTTAGAGGTGTGCCGGTTCGAGATAGGGATAAGACGTACCCGTGATCTTCGTGTTGACCCTCATGCATCATGAAGATACCCTTCTCAACGGTAATGACATAGGTCCCGCGCCGTTGCAGCATAGTCACCTGCGCGCTATTCTCGCAATAGTTCTGCGCGATATCATGGCCGCTGTTTCCCGTGCCGACCACGACGACCTTTTTGCCTGCTACGTCGTAGTGGGATGCATCTGTGTGCTGGCTGCCGTGGTATACTGTGCCCTTGAATTGCGACTGGTTTTCGAAGCTGGGAACCAAGGGTTCTCCTGAGTGCCCCGTGCACCAAATCAGGTGGCGTGGGCGCAGTGTACGTTCGCTCCCATCGCCGCGGACGACCACCACAGTCCACTGCTTCTGGGCATCGTCGTAGTCGGCAGATTTGATGGAGGTGTGAACCCAAACATTCAGTTCCATGATCATAGCATAAGCCTCAAACCAGTCGGCTAGTTTGTCTTTTGGGGTAAATTGCGGCCAGTTCTTCGGGAAGGGAAGGTATGCCATATGGGTGAATTCTGCAGGGTCATGAGTTACGAGGGTCTATGAGTACAGGTCAGACGGCGAGTCAGGTTATGTGTATCGCAAGCGTAGCTCACCCTATAGCGCTTCCGCCAATTATCTCCGATACGTTCATTCCGGTCGACGATGAGATGCGATATTCCGAGAGAATTGAGCCGAGCGCCCATGTTGAGACCTGCCTGGCCTAGAAGTTTATTAGTTAGCTTATTCCTACTGCACGAAAGGTGAGGTCTGCGTACCAGCTCCAACAATGAGGGTCGTAGGCTCTTCTTCCTTGAATTCAATTGTCCTCTGGCGTCGCTCGAGCCAGTTGCCCTGATTGAGTCCACCAGGCATTGTCTCGATCGTGCCGTATGCTCTTCTGAGGCCCAATGGTTCCTCGAATTCCTTCAATTCTTGCAATGTTGTATACATCGCATATGCCTTCCACTCTCCTGCGTCGTTCTGCGTCAGATGAATGACCCCGGAGCCACGCCCCACACTAGTCTCGAAGAAGATGATGGAGTTTATCCAGTTCAGCCCCTCCGCGGGGCTTTCCATCCTGGGCTGGAATTTGCCCTCATGCTGCAGACGCAGAGCAGAAAGACCCGCGCGAGGCTGATTAGCAGCCAGGAAGTCTTGGATCTTCGCGCATCCCTGGATGGTACGAAAGTCCCAGACCAACGCGAGCATGTCCCTCCACCAGGAGTCCTCATGGAAGACTCTTCCTAGCTGGGAATAGTTCCCCGTGGCGAGAAGAATTTCCAGATCGGTGATCCATCGCTGGGCAATAGCTCGAGGATCTAGCGGACCGATAGAGGATGGTGTTTTAGGAAGCTGGATCACGTAGTTGCTTTGTGCAAAAGACATGACGGGGAGTAATCCAATGTCACTGTATCTTCGTAGATGTTGTCGAGAGATGGAGCGGCTGGGGCGGGAGGGCCAAGTTGAAGTCTACGAGCCCCTCGTTGTATAAATACCCCGAGCTCTCCACATTGGACCCATAGTTCCATTGTTGACCACAGCTGACGAGGGGGAGCGGAACCCGCTCGGAGAATTGGCAGATGGACATGCTCCGATGGGACACAGTGGACCGCAAAGAAGTCCGGGGATGATGGATCATATGGGGACCTCGAGGCGAGTCCCACTCGTTTCTCGTCTATGGACGTTATTCGTGGCAGTCTCGAGTGGAGTGTCGAGCAGCAGCGGCTGTCAGTTGTCACTGATAGGAGTCCATCGTGGCCGTCGATCATTCATCAATAGATTCAACCGATGATGGGATGGAGAGGGGAAGTTCCAGTCTGGGCCTGGCGATGATCCAGCGCCTAAATTGCCCGAATTGGGAAGTTATCCTGATAAGCCCAGGATCTCTCGGCACACTTACCCCGCAGAGTGTTGATGCCTCTCATCTCCATCTGATGAAAGATACTATCTAGTCCATGTCTTTGCTTGTTGGGAGTGGAAAGGCACCCAAACTTAGCAACATAAAGTGGACACCCTGTTGATGGCTGTGCGGGTGAAGTATATATATGGCAAATAGCTTCTAGGATGATTTTTGAAACTGACACCTTTGTGTCTTCGCTACAATATCCACCAATAATGGTAAGTAGTATACGGTCTCGAATATGCTGGTTTGGTTTAGTTTCTAATATGACAAGTACATAGGGGCCCGAAGGGCCGCGTAGTGAGGGTAGTAGTACATTCAATAATATTTAATAATAATATATTATTATTATTCATTATTATTACCTGTAATTACTTATTCTTATTTATTATTATTATATAGTTTAGTAATAGTTACATATAGTAATAGTCAGTTATTTATATATTATAAAAAAATTATTTATTATTATTTTTAGATAAATTTTATTTTAAATTAATAAATCTTATTTAAACCGGGTAATTATATCTTATTATTATAAAATTATATATTATTTAATAATACTTATTAAATTCTATTAATAAAATAAATAATTTTTTATTTAATATTTTATATATTAATAATATCTGTTACTCACAGT